TATATAAATAAGGAAATTCATGAAATAGTAGTTCAATAAAATTTTGAATGCGACTCAACAAACAAAATGACATGGCCTTTCACCCATGACCCGTCTCGAAAGGGTTAATGTAATTAGTATACAACAAAAAGATAATTGTAAAAAAAACTAGGATTAGCTGTTATGTGATTATTATTCAAATTATTCACTTGATAGTAGTATAAATTATGATAGTTACGAAAGTGATTAAAATGTTTCAGCCATAGGACTTGTCATCAGTGAAAATAGGCCCAGCATGGCCAGGTGGTTAGGGCACGCGACTCGCAATCTGAGGGTCGTGGTTTCGAATCCCCTTCACACTAAACATGCTCGCCCTTTCAGCTGTGGGGGCATTATAATGTGATGGTCAATCCCACTATTCATTGGTAAAAGAGTAACCCAAGAGTTGGCAGTGGGTGATGATGACTAGCTGCCTTCCCTCTAGTCTTACACTGCTAAATTAGGAACGGCTAGCGCATATAGTCCTCATGTAGCTTTGTGCGAAATTCAAAACAAACCAATCAGTGAAAATTATGTTATCAAAATGTTGACCAAATTTTATTTCCCATTGAACTGTTTTAATTAAATTAATGTTTTCCTCTATCATAATTCTGTAACTTTGCTTGTTTTTTTTATTTGTGTTACATAGTACTGGAGTGGTAATAGTTACAAGGAAAGATTAGCATAATATTATTGTGAGCTGTTTTATTTTTTATATCGTAACCAGCACAGCCATTTCATTTTCCAGATAAATCAGCAGTTAGGAATGATGCTGCTGCAGAATTAGATCGCATGACAAGAACCAAAGTGCCCTTGGCTCCAAACCCTTCAACACCTAATTCAACCGAGGCTGGGTCTTCTTCAGGGTCACAGTCATAAATTCAAATCTAATTCAGTTCTTTGGAGTATGTGGCAGCTTTTGAGTCATTGTGAAAGTGTTTATTTCTACTAAAAGCGTACTTTATTGAACATAACTATTAAAAAAAAGGAAAGAGGTGAGAGCAGCTGGTGTATTTTTATGGAGAATGGTGCTTTCCCTCTGTATTGAAATATATTTGTACTCTTTCCATGAGAACAATTCCAAGAAAAAAAATTGAAATGGTGAAATTTGCAAACAAAATAAAAATGTAGACAACCATTATGGACTTTTATATTCATTTGTTATTAAATGTGGACTCTTCCCAGTGTATTTAGAATGCAAAATAGAAAAACACCTAAGCCTAATAATTTAACATCTCTTACGTTATTGTTTAGAAAAAAAGTGTATAAAGAAAAATATATATATATATATATAGTCATGGCTATTATTCTGTGGTCATTTTCAGTTACTTTTAGCTGATATTTTGTATGATTGAGACTTAACTTGGGAATTTAAAAATAAACTTCAGGAACCTTTTAGTGATAAAGCAGCTTACAATCACTTGAAGTGCATACAGTGGTAATTTACTCCAGTTTGTAGTACTTAATAAGAGTGTGGATTTATATGATCTAGCATCTCCAGCATATTAAATTACAGGCATAAGTTTAGATAAACCAATTTTTTATGATAATGTATAAAAGATTTTCTGTGAAATATAACATTAGTACCTCTAATTACTGTTTCTTTTGTAAAAAAACTTTTCTATTTCAACTAAAAGGTATGGAACAGATTTGAATTTTTATTATATAATAAAAAATATTTTTCTATTGAGAAAGAAATTTTTAAAGCAAATGGAAAGGCATTTAATTTTGAATTATCAATAATTTCTTTTCTGGTTCTTTTTATTCAAAGGGTTGTAAAAAATCAAAGTGTAATTTGTATATTTCAGTATGAGACAATACAATACATAATTTTGATAGAGTGTTCTAATGATTGAACTGTGTACTGTAAGATTTATCTGAATAACTTGCACAGTTGAGGAAAATTCAGGTTAAATACTCTTGTTGTCTTCACGGTTCTGTAGATCACTGTGATTTTGTTATTTGATTCTTAGGGTTCTGTTGATATATGTATTATTGCGGGATGTTTTAATGTCTTGTAATCCGATTTCACTGTGATATCTTTAATTCTCACTGTTCTTCAGTATTAGTGTAATGGCTATCAGTTCAAACAGTCAGCATGGCTTCAAATTATGTTGTAAAATTATAGCCACCCTGTTTTCTTTTGCAATGACTATTAACTGAGTTGCATATTTTCGAGTTATGGTATTAGTTTATGTAATAGTGAGCCAACCTTAACAAGTAGAGGTCTGAAAGTTATTGTATTTCAAACATCAGTTAACCAGTTTGACAAATGTGAAAGTTAAGCTCCCTGTACTTTCTTAAACTAAAAGCATAAAAGTGTTAATATAAATCAATCTATTAATCAACATTAGCCTCGTTTGTTTGTAAAATTTTTAAAAAGTGTGAAAAAGCAAAATTTGTATGTAATCTACATGCTTTGTTTAAAAGAAAATGTAATTACTGTCATTCCTCTTAACTATAGTAGTAGTAGCTGTTATATGCTAGGATGCAGTGTTGACTCAATGAATTTTGATTATTTAATAAATAGTTCTGCTTGAGGGTGTCTGAATTGTCTAAAAATTGGAGCTGATATTTTATCAAATTTTCCTGAAAGTTAATTTTTAGAAATCAAGAATTGAAGGCTTAGTGTTTCCTATATTTGTTAATGGTTTCAAATTCTTGACAAGTAATTTGTTTTCAGCTGCGATTGGAAGAAATTGTTCAACAAAAGTAATTTGTCTGTAAATTTTTTATTACTAATTAAACTCGGTGTTGTTGTATTATATCAGGAGGATATCTTTTAACACTTATATATATTAAATTAAAATATTACAAGTCATTATTAACAACTATTATTTTGTATGAAAGTTATTATATTAAGAAGAATGATCTATTACAAATTTTGAAGAAGATGGACTACCCAAAGT